GGGAAATGAGTGGGGCAGAGAATGTGATTGTTGAATGAAATTTGGTGTTTCGTTTTTGCTGTCACAACAAAACTTTTACGGACCTCCATCCGTGTTCTTATCAGTGGTGGGCTTCGTACTGCAGCACCATGCGGATGCTTGCATGATCATAAACGAGGTTGCCGAGCATGGACGCACTCCGTGTTTAGGATGTGGGTCATATCCCCAGAGCTCCTTGACGTCGGAATACTCCACATGAATGGGCTGACTTCCTTTAGGCGGCGCCGGATCGACCTCACCATCTAGGATATCAATTATCACAAATCCGAGCGCAGTTGGCGGTGGATCCGCCTCACCTTCAGCCACGTCCGCCGGCACCCGGTCTGCCTCCCTGCTCGATGGGCCCTCAGTTACGGTCACCTCGACAGCATCAGCACTCGCCACGTGCACTTCCTTACCCCCTCTGATTAGTTAAGCACCCTTCTCACGCTCCCTCTCCCCCTCGACAGTCTCCACAACATCTTTTCCTCCCCCCATTCTCAGCTGCATCACGTTCCTCATCTCTGGGTATAGATAGGGTGTGGTCGATGCACTGTGATCTCGGAACTCCATTTCACGCAACCTACAAACAGCTATGATGAGAGCTCCTTTTTGCTGCATGCTTCTTTATTCCAGGCATCCCCTCCCCCAACTCGTCTCGAAGCCAAGCCCGCAGGTGTGTGGGTGAGATGTCCCACAAGTCCTCGATGGTTGCAGCTTTCGATACGCGCAACTCCACCTTGCGTGAATCCACAATGTCTTTGACTAGCTTTTTAGACAATGCCCTACTTTTGTGCCACACGTCAATCTAGTGATCAATCCCTGTACCGATAATTGCAGCCTTGAACGTCCCCCCCTCATCGGTAATAATCCCCTTCACCTTGAAACCCCACTGCTTTAGATCGTCAAGGCCGCGCCGGAAGGCCACTCCCTCTAGAGCTGTTGCCGACACGCCCTCCTCTGTTTTGGACACGGTAACACAGTGCAACACTTTCCGTGTCAGAGGGTCCAAGAAAGTAACACTGCACTACTCCGCCTCCCTTGGCTGGCCCCATCTCCCATCCACACATATCCAGTGTCCATCTAATTCTTGCCATAACGCGGCACTCCTTTCCATCCCCTCTCACACCCACTGCATGCATGTGTTTGCATGCTTGATGATGGTTTCCTACAGCCCCTCTGCCCCACTCATGTTATTGTAGAATGTCGACTTGCAAGGGATCAGCATGCCCAGATTTCTAGCGATCTCAGTCATGAGTTGGTAACCTCCACCAGCTAGCGTGAACACTGCCATGAAACATTGCATCAAGGTAAGGCGTTTTCTACCCGGTTTGGAGCCCATGCTAGTGACCAGCTGCCGGTTTATGCTCCAAAACGGTTGAGATTTCCCACAACTATCACAAACTCACAACATCCCGAACCCCACCCACTGCATCTTCCATGCCCTCAGCCGCATGTTTCCCATGCAAACCTTGACTATTGTGCATTGCATCGTGCACATGAGTAAAAAATGCACCATGTGCATCGGGTCTAGCAAATCGACCATGTTTTTCAGCCCAGTCCATGGTGGGGTCGCTGGCCAACCTCCCTCGCCAGTCCATCTTCCCTCGTATGGCTCTGGAACACACGTCCTGTAGGCGGGACGTAGGGGAGGCGCGATAGTGTGTTTCCAACCCCTTTTTCACGACCTTCCCTATCACCCATCTCACCCTCGTAAGTCTAGAGGATATCCATGACCAATTGCTGTACCATGCGTACCTGTGCTGCCCTGTTGTGTACCCCCCAGCCTCCGGGGTGCGTTCAGACACATGCTCGGCTTGGCTTCTGGTCTCGCCATCTCCTCCTTCGATCACGATCTCCACTTGCTCCTCAACCCCGCGCATGTCTTGCCCCTCCTGTGCTGGGCTGGTCATTTTCTCACCCTCTCCTCCCTCGATCACAATCTCCACTTGCACCTCCGTTTGGGCCACGTCTAGCCCCTCCCGTGCTTGGCTGGTTGTGGGCTTGCCCTCTCCGCTCTGGCTGGTGGCAGCGCTTGCCCCACTTGCTTGAGGTACGCCGAGAGATGTGGTTGAGCAATATGCACAAGTGGGATATGGAACAGCTCAGATAAGGGAAGAATGTATGCATGGGGAAGCTATCAACTGCGTGAGAGAGTATACATATGGGGCTGGTCTAATATATAGAGGTGATGCTTAGAATGGTTGTTGTGTCGTGTTCGACGTTGGTGTGCAATACTTACACGCCTCTCGCATGTCATAATAAGTCTTGCCTCGTCGTGCACCACCCCACGTGAATACCCTCCCCTCCTCCTTCGCTTTCCCTTTACGGTCTACAGTGCATTTTGGAAGGCCATACTTGAGCCCTTCGATGGGCTGCGGCAGCCGCTCTCTAACATCATGGGGCATTCCCTTGGAGCTCATTTCGAACTCTTTCCCGTAGGCGGACATTCTCACTTCCACAATTGCACTCGCCTGGGCGCCATCAGAGCCTGGAAAGGGCACACTCGGTACCCACATTAGGACATGAAACTACACGGACGTGCGTGCAGCGTGTACCGTGGTCATGCTAAAAATCCTCGCAGACCCGCTTTGATGGCCGCGGCTGTTAGTTTTTCTTTTGCCTCCTCGCCTGCCATCCGCAAGAAATACACGAGGTCAGCGAGCGTCGCTGTCTGTTTGTTGCCCATGGGGGCTGTCAAGCCGCATCGTAAAAAGACGATTGGAAGTTCCATATTCTCGGAGATTGCTAGGTTCCTAGTGTCCTTGTTCTCTATGATATCCTTCACCTCCTTCTCCCAATCGTCTCTGGTCATGTTGCTTCTTGCGTCGCACCCCAAGAGAGGCCTTGTAGAGGGGCACGTGTTGATTGGTTCCCCCAAACCTACTGCTATCTAGCCATGCTCCATTCCCGTATTCTATGACCTGTCTTGCACATCCCATAGCTATAACGGGAGTTTGATGCTCTGACCGCCATAGCTGACGAGTTCATTGACACCCCATGTGCGCTACTGACTGCCTTGGCTGGGCTCTCGTACCTAAGACGCCATTGTCTGGCCTACCTTAGCATGCGTGGCTAGGGTTCTACTTGGTTGGTTTTTTCCAGGCTGTGATGAGGCCATGAGTTTGGTTGGGGTGGGATTCTCGTGTTGTTTATGTCTGTGGTTGTTTCTCCCAAGCACCTGGAGTTATATTATCTTTGATTGGTCGTCGAGATGTGTACGATTCTGTTTGTGCCTGGCACTTTCGCTAGGCCGTGAGCATGTTGGTTTCGCTACTCTCCAAACATTTGGAGTCTGTCGCTGGAGAGGTTTTTGTCGCACACGCAAGCTGTGCGCCTATCGGCACTGTTTTCCCACTTTGTAGGGGCAGTCGCTTATTGGCAGGCGTCCATTCCCCCCTCGTCAGACTATAGTGCTGGCGTCGTCGATTTTTTGTTACATCGCCCTCCGAAACTTTCACGTAGTTGGCGATTGTGGCCCCATGGCGTTTCGTGATTAGCCGTGCGCTCGCTGGGGGTGTTTGTTGCGTCACATGTACCCCACAGCGGGTAGGCTGGCGTGTGTTGTGCGCGCGGAAGCAGTTGGCAAAATTTCATATTCTGTCAATTCTCGTCATATTCGCACCCTATCGTGGGATACCAGATTTTCGCCAGCCAATCAACCTAGATCCCCCCCCAAGCCTGTTTTGTCAAACCTCTATACTTGGACAGCGGCTTTAAATCCACATCTCTCCTATGAGGCACCATGATTTGTGCACGACTGCTGTTATGAATGGGACTGCCGAGTAGCGCGGAGGGCAATGGCGAAACTGTGAACGAGTGAATGACAATAAAATGAAAGACAATACAATATATAGAAAGCCTAGGGTGATCCTGGACGTAGGATTGGAAGGTTCGGGAAAGGTATCGAAGGGCCTCGATGTGTCGTAGCGAGGTCCGGAAAGGCCCAGGAGGCTCGAACTGAAAGGTCTGGAACCCCATAGCTGGTTCGGGACTGTTCGAGTCGTACGCCCTGTAGCAAGCCTCAGTAAGGAATTACGCATTCCTTACAACTGCCCTGTTGGGATGTAGCTGGTTACACGAATGGGCCTTCTGGTTTCCGGGAATGATGATGATGCAGAGCCTCAGCAGCGGAGATAGATTGGCACGGACATTCTGTAATGAAATTTGGAGTCTCTTAAACAATCACAGGAAGTTGGTACCTTATCCTGAGTGAGTGGGTTAGCTAAGTAATTCGTTTGCAAGCCTCATGGCTTGGGCTGGGGGATACTCTTTCAGCACTTTCGTCTTAGAAAAAACGAAACCTGACTGTCGCAATTTGGCGACACTTTCGCGCGACAGCCTTTCGGTGAACAGTGAAGTTCGCTTGATGCGATATATCTCGGCGGTTCCGTGAACAGTGAAAGTGCGACGTTAACAATATTTTTGGGGCGAACTCTACCTGCTTCCGTAATAACAGACCTGGAAATCACTTGAAAAACGCCCCTCAATTTCCTGGTCGCAAGCCGCTCGCCCAAACCCAGTCGTATGCCCTCCGTGCGATATGCACAGTGTTTTGCACGGATCGCATCAGTTATAATCGTGTCGCAACAGAAAGCGAAACGAGTTTTTTCGTCATTCCTCGAAATCAGCATGCTCGTTTCGGCTCTGAGAACTGTCCCAAAAAAATTCGCCTTAGAACTCAAACCTGCCTTCCGTTCTATACTTGGACGGATTTTAATGCACCAAATTCAAGCGGTTTCCTGGTCAGCAATTTTAACCGCGGGCTTTAACACATGAATGTATAATTATAATGCAGACACTTGTAAAAGGGTGATTATAGCCTCAGTGGGTACTGCACTTGCTGGTTTTCTGCGAGGTTTGGTATTGTTTCGGTCGGCGAATTCGCAAACTTTTAAATAGGGTAACTCGTCGCAGTCACTCGCGAAACAATCACCTGCATTACTTGAGCTGCAAGAACAGCGTCTCCAGGTTTTCCAAATACCTGCAGTAGATTAGTTACTATTGCGTAGTAATCTGCAGCTCTCCCTTCTCTCGACTGGTCTCTGCGTGGCGTGCGGTTTCGTTAGGTCCTAGCTTACTCTCGCATCGCACGCGGGAGGCTCTCCGAGCGTAGCTGTTACTGCGTGTGTGGTAGCAAGGTCGTGACTCGCAAGCCGTCGCAAGCCGTCGCAAACCGTCCCTCCTCCAGGCCCCAGCCAGGAGTTGCGAGAAGGCTGGGCCTGCTCGCTTCCTCCTAGAGATTGTCTTGCGGAGCTCTCTGAGTCGTTTGAAGTCCTGCGTGCATCGAGGAACTCTCTAAGGGGGATATCTCTGCAACGATGAACCGACGGAATGTGAGATCTTGGTCCTTCCGTCTCCTAGCTTCATCTGGTTCGAATGTACTTACCGAACTTAACCGAAGAGAACCGTTTCCACTATCGTATCAGCAATCGTCAGCTGTAGAGTCGATGTCTTACGACCGCGTTTGAATCCGGCGTGACTCGCGCTGGTAGGTGTGTGGTGTGGGCTCAGTTGCGGCTGCTATCCTAACCTACCTGAATTTTGAGTCGACTCGAAATCCACCTCCGCGTGATGTGCGCTGGTGCCTCATCATGGTGTGGGCTCGGTTGCTGCCGCTGTGTTAGCACCCGAGCTTACAGTCGCCCTGCGGTAGCAAGTCGCGGATGCTGATGTGTTAGTCAGGGTGACTATCCGAGCTTATGTTGATCGCTGTGCCACAAGGTGAATTTTGAGTCGACTCGCAAGTCGCGGATGCTGATATGTTATGTTGACCGCTGTGCCACTCGTAGTAGTCCGAGGGACACACGCGTTGTGTCTAGATGCCCTGACCCAGGTGCCAGGGTGCCTGGCGGGGCATCGAGACACAGCACCTGGCGGTGTCGTGTCAGGGTATTCTCATGGGCTCAGTGCTGCCGTGGCTGTGGTGTCGTTACACCACGTCCCCTTAGTTCGAGGCGACTCATTCGCCGGCGTCCGAATCTCCTTGAAGAAATCCCGTTAGGCCTGATTCTTGAACAGTGTGAGAGATTTTTAAGAATTCTCGTGAGAGATTTTTGAGAATTCTAAAAAATCTCTCGTTAAGCGTCATTCTTGACCAGTTGGTTGCGTCACTTGTCCGCTGAATTAGGGTAACTTCCGGTTGGGATGATTGCTCGCTCTTCCGCTCCCTACCATAGAAACTTCCAGTGCCCTTTCGACTCCTAACGCTTCCTTCCTGCTTTCTTACATCCCTGTTACTTCAACGCCTGCCACACTCCTCTCTCTCATCGCTATCTTATCCAATCATCGAGGCGCCTCTGACGTCCGTGTCTCCCGTTCTCCACTCACCCATGCCTCCCTCCTCACCCACCGCATTTGCATGCTCCCCCTCCTCTTCCCCCCTCCTCTTTCTTTCCCCCTCCTCTCCCCTCCTCTCTCTTCCTCCTCTCTCCTCCTCCTCTCTCTTCCTCCTCTCTCTTTCTCCTCTCTCCTCCTCTCTGCTCCTCCTCTTTCCTCCTCCGCTCTCCTCCTCCTCTCTCCTCCTCCTCCTCTTTCCTCCTCCTCTCTCTTTCTCCTCTCTCCTGCTCCTCTCTCCTCCTCCTTTCTCTTTCTCCTCTCCTCCTCTCTCCTCCTCCGCTCTCCTCCTCCTCTCTCCTGCTGCTCTCTCCTCCTCCTCCCCACTCCTCCTCTCTCCTCCTCCTCTCTCCTCCTCCTCTCTCCTCCTCCTCTCTCTTTCTCCTCTCCCCTGCTCAGGTCCGATTACCGCCTGAAGTGAACAGAGCCATCTATGTGCGGTAAGTGTGTTAGTCAAGTAGCGAGCGAGGGAGTTAGTGAGAGAGGGGGGAGTGAGGGAGGGAGCGAGTGAGAGAGGGGGGATTAGTGAGGAGCGAGAGGTTGAGACAGGGGAGTGGGCCAGGGAGTGCTACAGCAGTGATACGACCCACTGCCAGGCCGACATGATTCGTCTGTGGAATACTGAGCCCACTTATGGGCTTCCTTTTTCTGTTTCCCCCTCCACCTGCCTCACTTTTAACCTCACGTCAGAGGAGGTGCACCACGTATCACCTCTCATTTGGTGTCTGTACCCCTCTCCACCCCTGTATTCTCCTAAGTGAACATCACATCAGAAGAGGTGTACGACAGATTACCTCTCATTTTCTGTCTCAATGTTGTTTTGCCTTTCTGCCCATCTCAACACCTCTCTACCCCTCGCCATCTAGTGCCACAGCAATCTCCCATTCAACATCACATCAGAGGAGGCGCACGACACCTGACCCCCAATATTCCATTTCAATGCTTCCGTGCTTCCTCCCAACCCGTCTGTCCCACTCTCTACCCCTCTCTGTCCCTCTCAACCCCCACCCACAGCAACCTGCCCTTCAACATCACATCAGAGGAGGTGCACGACACCTGTGTGTGTCCTTGCTGCTCTGCACCTATTGACCCCTCTCTACCCCTCCCAAATTGCCCTCCAATGCCGCTCCCCGCAGGGACCTCCCCTTCAACATCACATCAGAGGAGATGTACGACATCTCACTTCTCATACGCCATCTCAGTGCATTCTTGCCTCTCTGGCGATCCCTCCCTACCCCTCCCTCGCGCTCCCTCCCCTCAGCAACCTCCCCTTCAACATCACGTCAGAGGAGATGTACGACATCTTTGGGAAGTACGGCGCCATCAGACAAATACGCATGTGAGTCGCTGACACAGTTGACCGAAGCACAGCAGCTGGGAGTGTATTTTGTCCAATTTGCGATCCGCATCTGGGAAATAATGGGCCATCTGTAAAATGCGCCTGTGAGTCACGCGTGGTTCTTAGTGCACCTGCCAACCCTGTGTTCCATCAAGCCCTTGGCCTGGCTTACAGTTGTGTTGTTTTCTTTTCCAAATCCGTTCGGATGGATGCAAAACACAACCTTGTGCCGCGTGTGGCATTCACGATGCCAAGCGTGCTGTGGATGGTTTGCAACACCTTCAACAAGAGAACTATCAACTGCTTGCCCCTCTTAACACCTTCAACAAGAGAACTATCAACTGCTTGCCCCTCTTAACACCTTCAACAAGAGAACTATCAACTGCTTGCCCCTCTTAACACCTTCACCACTCCTTGTTCTTCTCAGATGTTTGCCCCTTCCCCGCGACGTCCGTTGTGCCGTGGAGAGGCGAGGAATGGCCTCTGTGGTGTACGAGGGGATTCTTAGGGAATTCTTAGGGGATTCTTAGGGGATTCTTGACGCTAAGAACGCAGCGGGCCCTCAATATCTCTCTCTTATGTCTGTTTCCTTACCGGTCCTCCCGATGCTCGTTTCTGCCAGTGGGGTGACGAAGGAGACGCGGGGAACAGCGTTCGTGGTGTATGAGGACATATACGACGCCAAGAACGCAGTGGACCATCTATCCGGGTTCAATGTGGCGAACCGGTATCTGATTGTGCTCTACTACCAGCAGTCCAAGTTCACCAAGAAGATCGACCAGGTGCGCTGCAGAATCATTCTAGATGAGCTGCAGGAAGTGAGGTGTAGGTATGAGGTAGTAATCAGGGTTCAAAGTGAGGGAACCGGTACCTTATTGTGCTATACCACCAACAGTCCCAGTTCACCAAGAAGATCGACCAGGTACTGTTGATTATGGCTTCTTAGCTTGTTCGAATGCATGCTCCTGCTTCGTCTGTCACCTGCACCTATTCTGGTAGTGGTGGAAGTTCCGCAGCTTATCTCTGCAGCATGTGTTTCATGCCAAAACGCGTTTTCTTCATCACAAGGGTTGTTCCCCGTACCCCTGTCACAACACATCCCCATTGGCTGGAGTGCAGAGGAAGAACGAGGAAGAGCTGGACAAGATGCAGAAGAAATATGGCGTGTCAGGGGAACAGAAATGATGTTAGTCACATCACATGACACACACTAATGATGGCTTTTGCATTACATTGTAATGTTCTCATGTACTCATGTATATTTTACTGATTTTGTGTTCACTGGCCAGTCAGCACCACATGACACGATGTCCAGTTCTCACAGCACTTAACAACACTGAATTAAGACAAGAATCTTTAAAGCCCGAGTCTACATTGGTTGGCTATCAAGTTCAGGATTCCTGAACTTGCTTTCGTAGAAGTTGGGGTAACCTAGTGAAGGGGACCAGCACGTCGCAACCCCTGGGGAAATGGGGCAGCGTGCGAAATACGCTGCATGAGACAAACCTCGAACGTATTGTTCACTCATACTGAAGTTGAAAACGCCTGGTACCATTCTAGACGCATTTTTTGCCGGGACTCACTGCGCGGGAAATGCTTTGTCCAGTTTGCCCCCCCACCCCCAAAGTCGTCACTGTTTGCGCACTGTTGATTACAAGTTGTTGGGTTCCTTCTGTGTCGCGAGCGACCCTTTTTTTTTTTTTTTTTTTTTTTTTTTCGCTGAGAAGTATTTTTCGCCAGGGGAGCTTTGCCGAAATTGTTTTCGTCCAGTGTTTTTGGCACTGTTTCCATGATCAGTAAACATGGTTTTTTACCATTCTAGACTCGGGCTTTAAAGCCCACAGCTAAAATAGCAGAGTTGGAAACCAGGGGTGATTTTATCAGACTAATTGTATGATTGTCCGAAATTTCAAACCATTCTTTTTCCCACTCCTGATTTTTTTCAGACTTTGCCTTTTCTGGATACTGAGCAGGGCCCCAGAAGTCAAGAAAATTTTCCTGATTCAGGAAAAAAACAGGGTGTTGAGGGGCACTAGATCTGATTTGCTAGGGTTTTGTTTTTGGCATATCCTGAAATTTCAGGGTTTTTTTGTAAGGGATATCTGTCAGGTCAGTTTTTTTTTTGTAATGGATCCTGAAATTTCAGACTTGTATAGAGCATGGGTTCTGATTTTGTCAAAGGCGTGATTTGCGGGTCCCCCCCCGAATTACAGCGATATGCGCATATTCCCCTACAAAACTGGTCTGACTGCCAGGTTCCCGCCTGCAGACATTGTTTGCTGAGTCACATGTTGCCGCACTTCCTCACGGCATTGGTCCTTCTCAAAGTGTCGACCAGCACACAGTTTGCCTGCATGCGTGGATTGGTTGCCTTTGTAAATGCTGCCTGAATAGCCAATCACGTGTACGCCAGCGATGATGACCCAGCTTCAACACCACACTCCGGTTCGACGCCGACGCGCATGCGCCGCGCTAGTTTCGGTCCAGATTCAGGAATACAGGAAGCCAACTGTGCGTGGCTGGCTAAGTGTTCGCACCTCGCCATCGTTCCCTTTCCCCCCTGCGTCTTCTTCATCTGTTTCTTCCCACGGTAGAAACAGCCACTGCGTCAGCCACTCCCAGCGTGACCTTCCCCCCACAGTGTCGTTGTTTTACAACCACTCCGTCGTGTGTCTCTGCTCGTCGACCACCCTAGTGAGCCCCGTCCACATGCCTGAGTCAGGCGACGTGGAATTGGACGACGATGGCGACGACAGTGGCAGTCACCGTGCCGAAGCCCCCACTGGGCTTGACATGCTCCTTTCGACGCTAGGTAGTTTTCCGAAGACTCCTCGTAACCCTCCGATGAAACAAAACCCCCTATGCGCCTCGCAGTCGGTCGCCTCAACTTCTCAAGGTGTTGTCGAGCCGAATTCCGCGCCTATTCTTTGCCCATCCCTGGCTAATGCTTTTACCTGTAGTCCAAGTTCCGCCACCCCTGTGAAACCTGGCGGTCGATACCGGCAATCCACCCTGTGGAATTTCCCACGCGGTCAGCCGACGACGCCCCGCCCCTCAGCCATGTGCGAAGATGACGACAGCGATGGCGACGACACTACCGCTGCACCCGACAAGTTTCGATCGCCTGAGGATGTCTACGGCGAAGCCCTCAGCAGGTTTAATATGCGGTGGTCCGAGCGGTTTCCCTGGCTTATGATCGTTAAGACTGACGCTGGATTCCCTGCGTTTAAATGCAGTCTGTGCCTTGAGCATGCAGGACTCAGAGGGAAAGCCGGCAAACACGGCGCAGGGCTGACGGACGTGCAGTCGCAGGCATTCAACAGGCACGCGGGGTCGGCCAAGCATCGCCTAGCCGTGACAAAGCAGCAGGCGCTGCGGCAGGACGCAACCAACCAGATGCGGATCGACCAGCTTCCTCAAGCCGCAGACCTGGAGAAGGAACGTGTGACTGCGCTGCTTGACGCGCTCTACTTCTGCTGCAAAGGCAACGAGCCGATGGAAAACTGGATCAGGATCGTGCGCTACCTCAGCCAACGTCGGCACGAGCACTTCCCCGAGCAGACCTATGGCACGTTCTACGACAGGTATTCTTGTGTGTTGTTTGATTTTGTTTTGCATGCATCTATCATGCATGACGAATGTTCATATTTCAGCATACTAATTATTTGTATGCCCTTGGCTACTGCAGTTATGGGTACGGGGAGTTCACACAGTCCATGGCAACCTGGCTGCAGACAACACAGTTGGACCACCTTCTGAGGAGCCCGTTCATCGGCTTGAGCATCGATGAGAGCACAAAACGCTGCCGCGGCAAGCACCTCATCGTGTTTGCGCACTTCATCCGCGAGAACCAAGTTGTCTGCGAATACCTGGCCCTGCTGAGCGTCGACAAGGCCGACGCTGCCTCTCTGCTCGCTCTACTCCTGTCTCACATCAACGCCATCGGTGTCGACCTCCGGCGGGTCGTGGGCATAAGCACCGATGGCGCTGCTGTTATGATGGGGTCGAAGGCTGGGCTTGTGACGCGGCTGCGGATGCAAATTCTGCACTTGGTGTCGTATCACTGTATTGCGCACAGGTGAGTGTTGTTGTTTACCACTACTGTACCTCGGGTTAAGTGCACTGGTGGTTTCCGCATGTGCAATGTGTATTACCCCACTCCCAAGGCTCAACATGTACCAATTTTTTTTTCGTTTTGTCCCACCCTCCAGAGAGGCACTGGCAGCTAAAGCAGCGGCGGAATCCTTGCCAGCGTTCAAGATGATTGACGATGTCATCAAGGAGCTCGCTGAGTACTTCGGACGATCCGGCCCATGGCACCAGCGCTTCTTGGACCTGCAGGAAATCTTCACCTCGACGAACCTCAAACTTCAAGGCATTCATAACATCCGATGGCTCTCCCGCGGTGAGGCTGCCATTAGGTTAGTCAAGGTTCTACCCGCCATCGTCGTCATGCTCTCGGAGTGGGCTGATACCCGGCTCTCCAGGATAGTGACAAGCTACCGCTTCTGGTTCCTTGTCATGTTCCTTGCTGACGTACTGGAGCAGCTAAACATCCTCAACAAGTCCTTCCAGGAGCGTCAGGTGAGTTTTTCTTTACTGTGACAATGAGTCGTTATTAAACCGCCCTGGTTCTGTATATATACACGCACCCTGGTCGTCCGGCTTCCTTTACCTTCGTGCTGCATGAAGATCGCTTGCCCGGTTATCCGGGGGAGGGCGATCATGACGCGTGCCAGAGGCTCTGTGTGGCCATGGCGACAGGCATGGTGTCGAACTTTGAAGGAGCGGCTGGGTGATCTAGGGAAGCTCTCTGGCTGCCGCCTCTTCTCTGTCAACCAATGGCCCCCAAATTGGGAGAGAGCTGCACGCAAGGCCCAGTGCCTTGACTGGTTCTTCTCCCTTGTTACTCTTTATCGTGCAGATGAGGCAGAGGAGATGCTTCCTGGCATTGACAAGCGTGCAGCCATGAGAGAGCTGCCTCATTTCTGCCCTGTCATTGCTGCTCTTCCCCAGGCCGACCGAAGCTTTCACGCTGGGCTCACGGCCATGCTGAAGACACCTGACTGGCAGGATTCTTACCCGAACCTGATGAAGCTGTGGATGGCGGTGGCAGTGCTTCCTCTCAGCACTGTGGAGTGCGAGCGCGTATTCTCTAGGCAGAATGTGATTAAGAGCTGGCTGCGTGGCAGCCTTAAAGATACTAGGCTTAGTGACCTCATGTGCATGTCACTTTTAGACTATGACCTGGACTATGATGCTGTGGTGGAGATATGGCGCGCTTACAAGAAGCGTAAGCCCTTCAATAACACCCCTCAGGCCAAGCAAGACGGCTCGAAGAAGGGGAAGGTAGTAGCAGAAGATGCAGAGTGGGGTGTAGGTAGTAGTGACAATGTGGACGATCTTGATAATTTCGAGTAAAGCTCCTTGCTTCTTAATTTCCTCTTCATTTTGTCAATCAGGGAAAAAAAACCATCTATCTCTGTCCATTCAGCATTTTTGTCCCACACAATCCTGACCCCTAAGCAAAAAAATTTGGGGACCTCTGAAAATTCAGGGAAAAAACCATGGGTAGTCCTTTGCAATCAGGATGACTTAAAACCAATCTGAGGTCTTTTTGCCTTTTCGCCTCTCTAATTTTCACGAGTGATCCTTGGCATAATACTGATTTTCAGAATGCTCTGGAGCTGTAACTCTGATTTTCCAGGATTTTTTTTGTTGTAATTTTCACTGATTTACTCTGATTCATGTAATCCTTCAGCGAGCTTCTTTTCTAACCACTAGATGCATACAGCTAGCAAAATTAGCGCCACTGTCATTAGAAATTATAATTTTTAACACACGTAGTGTTTTTCAAAAATTGTGTATTGTGAAAGCGAAGCTGATTGTACTGAAGCGTTGGGCATCGTCGAAGCGCGCTACTCGCCCTTCTCCAACTACATATACGTGGGTTGGAGCTCATTTACCTCCACCCACGTCTCTCATTTTTCAAACGGCTCAGTCAACCTTCCCGCTCTAGCTTTTCTCCCGTTCAAGCTGGCTAAGACTAGAACTTTGCCTCGCGGCGAGTCTCCCTCGACTCTTCTCTCCGACATTTTTAAGTTTCACCGATCCGTCATGGCTCCGACTACGAATAATCGCGGCGAGTCCAACGTCGTCACCGGCCACCCCAATTCCGAGTCTACTCGCCAAGCCCCGGAAATTGCGGGCGACCGGCGCAACAAGCGTCGGGCAGAAGAAGGGGCAACCGCCCCAACTGGGGTTGACGTTCTGCTGGGAGGGGGCGAGGTCAACAGTCAGCTTGCT